AGCACTTTGGTTTTTATTGTGTTTTATAAATAAATAAATGATGATGATGATGATGCTGATGACTGAGAATACAGATCTCTTGCAAGGGTGGTCTGGACCTGAAGGCAACCTAGTGCACATAATTTTGCGTTGTATCATTACACAGGCTGAAACTGTGATTTGTTTGTCTTGTACAGATAACTTTCACATCAGCCCTTGTCATTTAAGGAGCTGGCTGACTCGATTGCAGCTCAGCAGGCGTTTACACAGTGATCCTGGTGATAGGTTAGTAAGAGGTTTGGCTTCACAATGGGTGTCAAGTTATTTGGCAAATATGAGAAAACTACAAATAAATTATGTACGTTCGGTTTTTGATGTAATTTCTGGCGGTGTCCCACAGGGCTCTGTGCTTGGTCCTAAATTGTTTCTTTTATATGTTAATGACTTGGTAAATGTGTCGAAGTTGTTCAGGTGTCTTATTTTCAGATGACACTACTTTCTTTTGTTCAGGTAATGATCCAAATCACATGTGTACAACGATGCAATCAGATTTTGTAAAAAATACAATAATGGTTTATGTTAAATAAATTATCACTTAATTTAGACAAGACCAACTCTAGGATATTTAATAAAAGGAAATTAAAAGTAGATGTTTCATTTAAAATTGGTGGTGTAATAATTTCTACGGTTAGTGAAGCGAGGTTTGTGGGGGTTATTATTGATGAAAATCTGACATCAATTGCAGTATTGCATAAAGCCAAAGACATATTTAATAATAATGCATTACTTATATAATGCTATAGTTGTGCCACATTTGACCTATTGTTTTGAGGTCTGGGGGAGTGCATGTAAAACATTTGCAAATCCACTTTTTATTTTGCAAAAATGTGCGGTGAGAATTGTAACAAGAAAACACTACTCTCACCCTACAAATATTCTGTTTAAGCAACTGGAACTGTTGAAATATGAGGAATTGGTAGATTATAGGATTCTGTTGATTATGTATAAGGCTCATAAAAATGTATTGCCACCTAATATACAATCCAACTTTGTTAAGAGGGATAGTGTTTACAATTCGAAGGGACTTGAAATGTTTGTGAAACCAAACATTAAAACACATTTAAGGGAGAGAGCCCCCCTAAAATATTTTAAAGACCCCCTAAATTATTTTGGTGTAAATTTTTTTTTTACAAAAATTCAATATGATGTGTTCAGATTATTCTGAATAATAATAATAAAATAATAATAAAATTCTGGATATTCTGAATAGTTATTTATATAACCATTTAATATGTAATTATTAACTAAAATAATAAATCTTGTCAGTTTCCCTTTAATTTATTGTGTAAGATAGAGATCCTCTTTGGTGCGTCGTTATCCAATCCATTCAACTTGTTCATTTAGAGTACTCACACGCCACATGAAATCCTGTCCACGTTTTTCCTGCAACCTTAACAGCAGCATGCTAACAAGTTTACACATTGAGCCAGCTAAGTGCAACATGAAGGCTCAGTTAGCAGACCAGGAGAATCACTGCTGATAGTAACCATAAACATAAAGAGTAGATAGACGGACTGCTAATGCTGCTGTTGAGCCGCAGGGCCATCATCTTGGAAAAGTCATTTGCTCAATGAAGTATCAGCCTGTTTAATCAATCATAACTCGCTGAAAACTAAACTGTTTTACACACTTTTTTTTGCTGGAAACCCTAAACCTACAGCTATCAAAGCTATATGTATAAGAAGAATACATAGTTTAACTTATTTAAATATTCTTAGTAGGGTTAACTGTAATACACTATCCAAATATATTATAAAATGCATGATGATGAAATAATGATTATAGAATATGACTATAATAAGCATAAATTTATGTTGTACGGAGCCTAAATATAATGATCAGATTTCAATATTTTGATGCATATCTGTTGATAATGAACCAAGGCTGCACAAATTATTAGTAAGCTTGTTTGAAATTTATTCCAGTCAGATGTTCTGTTTGTGTTGGGGATGACATCAGAGATGAGGTGAAAGAGTGTCTGGGGTGAAAAAAGTCTGTGCCACCTGTGGAAAGTTTACTGGAGAATGTTATAGCAGTAATAACTTGCATTTGTACAGAATCATTATTTTGTCAGTTAATCTAAATCAGTGTTAGGGAATAACAGAGAGATTTTATATGATTTATAAGCTGTCAGTTCATGGTTGGGTAAACACCAGCACTAAACAGTATAACTAACTTTAGCTGACGTTTAATACAGTTTAATTTAATACATTATAGTATTGTAGCAGAAACGTGAATATCTTCTCAACAAGAGACAGTCAAACTATTGTTCCTGTTAACTCCACCTTTTTCATCCTGCCTGCAACATCTCAAAGTTTGAAGAGTGACTTCTCCTGTTATCTCATCTGATACTTCTCCTTTAGGCCTTAGATCAAAGACTAGACTTCCTGTCGCCTGTTAATTTGTTTATCACCTCTTTCAGAATAAGACTGGAATAAACATTGTTTGACATCAAAGTGCCCCTGATGTTAAACAAGAAGAGACAGAAAAACATCAAAAGACTCCCATCAGATTTATCTGTGGGTCAGCAACGCCACCCTGTGGACATTTTATCTACTAACCATGAAAATTTTTTATTTTTCACCCATGTTTTCCATTTATAACTATAAAAAGCATCTGTGAAGTGTCTGATTTAATTACTGTAATAATCATGACATTGTTTAGTAACTTGATCTGTTTGATTAATTATTACTCTGTTCTTCTGTTACATGTCCTGATAGGTCATGTGACCACCGCAGAAAATTTTAACCAATGAGAAGTTCCGTTGTGAACAAGGAGTTTTTCATTGTTCTGCCATGTGTTGAGTTCTAAAAAGTATTTTTGAAGAGAGAGTAGTTTTTCAGTTCCAGCTTCCCCCATCCCGGGACGAGGCCATTCGTTTTTCCAACTTTATTTCCTTTTTGTAGTTTTGTTCTGAAGGAGCTTTTCAGGAAGGAGATTTACATTGATTGAAACGATGAGGCTGATTTAATTCAAGTTGGACGACCACCAGTGTGCCCGCAAGGAACGCAGCCGCCGCGGTGCGCTGGACATCTCCAGTGAATGCAAACCGGCAATCCAGATGACCAGGGAACTTCTGCACAGCTACAGACTCGGTTGGACTTCACGTGCCAGCCCAATTAGTATAGAAGTATCCATTCTGGCGTCTACAAACTTTGTCGGTAGGAAACATCTTGCTTTATTAATCTTATGGTGTGTTCAAAGATTTAAATCAGATCAGAGTATAATCAATGTTCATTCGTCTAACCCTGAGCTCCCTCTTTGTTTGCTGTAGGCTTAGCAATGGCGTTAGTGTCTCACTGAAATATGGTAGAAAGTTGTTCACATGGCAGCCATGTCAGACTACTTACGCCACTCCTTGATCAAGTTTACGGCACTGATTATAAAGTGTGTTTTGTCTGAGAAATGACTTGTAATGCATATATTTCCCTCTGAACCTCATTTTAAATAATACACGGATGAATTTCCAAACGTGATTTGTCTTCGTCTGTATTTCCTTGTCTCACGCCGTCATTAAACTGAAAGAATTAAACGCCTTCATATTTAGAGATTGAATATTAAGAGAAAAGTTTTTCTGAAGTTTTACTACAAAAACTTTAGTGGTGGCTCGAGGTAAGATAATTTGCGTATTTAAATAATTCACAAATTATCCATTTTAGAATTTCAGCGTTTAAAACCCCTACAGTATAAATTAATACTATAC